GGATGTAGGCTCTGGCTATAACTGTTCCTTTTGGAATGAAAAGGGGACGATCTAAGCATAAAGCCTGGGCAGTTATCTCCTGCAAAGATGTCAAGGCGACTACATCAGGTAGTACAGTGGGTGTCTCCATCTCTTCCCTGGTGTTCGTTAAAATCAAAATGTCTCTGGGCCATTCTTCAGGCCCGTATTTGCCTGAATGGAATGTGGTGAACATAAATATCGTGGATTGGAATTGAAAAGGCTCTTACCAGCTGCCTTTGGGTTCCAGGGCAGAGCTGTCTTCTGTCGAGTTGCTGCAGCAATTGAGCTGTCCCGATGGATCTGAGAAGGTCGCTGTGCTGGTTCTCCAGAATGTTGGGGAGAGTAGGGCTGAACAGCCACGCATTTGGTGCCACTGCGCGGGGCCTTTCCACGTCTGTATGGGGTTTCCTGCAGACCACCGGTTTTGCTGGTTTTGGAAAGCATGTGGATGCGGGGGGCAGTGAGGACAGTGGTTGTGACACCTAGAAGGTCCCTGGTAATAGCCTGTATTTTTACAATTCTGTTGAAAATGCCTCATTTCCCCACATTTAATGCAAGGTCATTTTTCATGTATATGTCAGGGAATAACTTCGGAGGCTACGAGCACCACAAATACACCCTGACTGGTAGCCTTATCTAGGCTGGCATAAAGGTGTTAGGATGCCCTAAGGGTGCATGCCTCGAGCATTTGTGCAATGGTAGGTTTTGGGGAAAGTGACATGAGGGATGAGAGAAGGACAAAAACGTACTGACATGCAAGGCTTTGGGTTTAGTGGTATGTGTGATTTATGCCTTTTATTAGAGGCCAGGTTCCCTGGTGCACTCAATTCCTGCCTCTACCTGAGATTTCATTGCTGGGGGAGGAGCTCAGCAGTGCTGAGAGCAGAGGCCTGTCCTTTGTGTTCCCTTTGGGATGGCAGTGGAAGTGCCCTGAGTGCACTTTCAAAGGTACTTTCATGGCTTCTCATGCCAAAACACCAAAACTTAATGTGCAAGGTGGCTTCTTTGAATGACATTTAGTCCTTTGAAATATCTGCAGCAAGTGGTCTGAAATTGCTTTCTGAGCCTGCTCCATGGGATCAGCTGTGAGGGGCTGAGGGCTGGCCTGAGCGCAGGACTGTGTCCCACTGGGAGCAGGCCCACAGCCTCACCTGCAGAGCAGGCACTGCCAGAGGCCTTGGAGATCTTACCTGCCCTGCACCCACCTTTATAAATGTGCTGTAAACATCAGTTGGTGCTGACATTGCCCTTGGACCCCTTAGTTTAGTCAGTATGGGGAATTTCTTTCCTGAAGCCCGTGGGATTTCCCCCTGGCAGCTGTGATGGGGATGCTCAGGGAGTGTGGGGCTTTGAGGGCAGCTGCCCGGGCAAGGCTGAGCTCGGAGCCCTGTTGGGCCCATGGCCCCCAGCAGCAGCAGCAGCAGCCACCGGGCCCAAAGCCCCGTGCCCCCTGCCGAGTACAGCCTGCCCTGTCCCTGCAGCTGTCACCCGAGTGGGGCCCAGGGGCCAGCGGCTGCTGCCAGCAGCAGGAATGCGGGCAGGGTGAAGATGCCCTGGCTTGGCTTTTGTCGCTTGAACAATGCGGGCTCAGGGACGTGCAGAGCAGGCTGGGAAGCAGAGGCCAGAGCCTTTGGAGGCTGCAAGCCTTAAAGATCAGCCCCTGCAGCAGCCCAGATGCAGGTGGCCCAGTTGCCAAGGCTGTGGTGGCCTTCAGAGCGTGCAGGTGGATTTTGCATGCCTGTGGCCTGCTGCCTGCTCTGGGCCCAGGAGCCCCTGTGGCTCCAGCAGGAAGGGTGGGTGAAGGTTTGCTGCCTGCTTTGGTGGCATGGCTGCAGGGGCCAGTGCTGTGAGAGCCCCCTGGGTGAGAGCTGGTCACAGCTGAGCTGTTCGGACAGCGCTGTGCCCCAGGGCAGGAAGAGCAGCAGTGCCCAGTGCCAGGAGTGGTATCAGTGGGAGCCCCTGTGCACAGGGACCCCCAGCCCCAGGGTGGCTGTGCCAGCACCCCCAGGGACCTCCAGCCCTGCGAAGTCGGATCAAGAGGAACCCACAAGTGTGCAAACGCTGCCTGCACCAAAAAGAATGACAAAAGTAGAGATGTTTTAAAAAGAAACAGTATTTATTTGCTGAAGATCAGCAAAAGCTCAGATTTACAGAACATGTTTCATTTTAAAAATCCTTGTAACAACAACAATGTACAGAAGATATTTACATGGGATCCGATGGACTAACAATCTTCAAAACATATTTACAGAAATCTTCTATCGCAGTGAACATATTTACAAGAAACTTGAAGCTTTCAAACATATTTACAAAGGCGTGGCATCTGCGCCATCGTCTGCATCAGTCCTGGAAGAAAGGAAGCAGCAGAGCTGGACTCAGCTGCCAGCCCTGAGGCCAGCAGGGCTGGCAGCTGGGCCCAAGGGGCTGGCAGGGCTGGCAGGGCTGGCCTGGCCCCAGGCAAGCGCAGGGCAGGCCGGGGCTGGTGTTTCTGCCACCACAATCCAGGCCCCCTGCGGGCACCGTGTCCCTTAGTGGGGCCATCCGGCCCAGCCCCAGCCTGGCGTCAGGGGCCCCAGTGTGTCTGTGGGCTGGGCGTGGGAAGCAGCTGCCTGTCTTACCTCTGGGGCTCCATCTTCATCCAAGGACCATGGGCTCCTCCTCATCCTCCTCATTGACCTCCATTTCCTTGGTGTTATCCTCCTCATCAGCCTCCATGTCTTCTATGTTGTTCTCCTCCTCTACTTCCATCTCCTCAACAGGATCTTCCTCGTCCACCTCCATCTTCTCCTCCCTCTCCAGCACCATGTCCACTTCCATCTCCTCCTCAGTTTCTCTTGCAGTCTGCAAGGGGAAGCACAATCTCTCAGTGGGCATCCTGTCCCACACCATCCATTCCCACATGGCTGCAGCCTGCCCAAGCCGGGTGCCCCCCTGCCTGGGACGGCACTGTACCTCCACTGGCACAGAAGTGCACATCCTGCTGGGATTGGCGCTCCAGAGCGGGCAGCAGGAAAAGCCCAGTCAGCAGCAACAGCTCAACAGTGAGGGGCAGAGCACACAGCGAGTGGCAACTGACCCTTGGCAGCCAGTGAAGTGCCTGCTCTGCTCGTTTCCAGGTCCTGGACGTTCCACCTGGAACCCTGTGGGAGCTGTGATGTCACTGAAATTTCAGGGCTGCTGCACAGTGGGAGATGGGGATAGCAGAAAGATCAAATCCTTGAAGGGTTTGGCTTGGAAGGGACCCTAAAGATCATCTGGTTCCAAGCTGAGCAACCTCCCAGCACACCAGGTTGCTGTGGCCCCTGTCCCACCTGGCCTTGGATGTTGCTGGGGATGGGGCATCCACAGCCTCTCTGCACTGGTCTCTGTGTCAGGGACAAGCACCCTGATAATAAAGAACTTCTTCCCATCATCAAATCTCTTCCAACTCTTGCAGTTTGATCCCATTCCCCCGTGTCCTGTCATTACAGTTCCTGACAAAGAATCCTCTCCCACTTCCCTGTGGGTCAGGCTGTTCCTGCATGGTCACACGTGTGATTGAACCTGCAGACAGGAGAGAGAGAAGCCATGTACGCAGTCAGAGAAAATGGGGAAAGTGACAAGAGAGATGAGAGTAGGAGGAAAAAGTAGAGACATGCAAGGCATTGGTTTGGGTGTGCTGTGGGATTCATGCCTTGCATTGGAGGCCAGATTCCCTCGTGCATTCCGTTGTTGTGTTGCAGCCTGCCCACTGCCAGCCTCTGTGAGTGACCTGCACTCCCAGGGCTGGGAGCACGCTTGCTTAAACTGCTGGTGAATGAGGCTCTAAAGGGATCTTTCTGTGGAACTCCAAAGACTGTGCTTTTCGCTGAAGAGGGTCCAGGGAGGGAGATAAAATGGGTCTGGGGACACAGGGTATTAAATGGGGTGGGAAAGCAGGGTAGCATTGCAGTAAGCCAGGACCCATAGGGGACTAGAGAGGGGAGAACATTCTAGAGGGAGTATATATAAGGAAAAAACAGCAGTTGAACTGGGTGGTGCCAGCAAAGGCTGCTGCATCAGCATGAGCCTGCAAATGCTCATGGGTGTCACCATTGCATTTAGAGGGATGCCTCTCTTCGTCACTTTACCCTGAGGTATTACAGTTCCAATGGTCGGCTTCTGGGCCTTCAACTCTCCCTCCATTTTGTCTTCTATAAAGAAGGCTTCTGCCATTTAGTTTTGCAGGAACTTAGCATAAATATGGATAAAATAACCAGCACAATGAATACAATAAACAAAGCCCACAAAACATTCCTCACTAGAGATGAAAGCCAGGCTTTCATCCCCCAGTGTTTGAAAAGTCCACTGAACCAGTCGTTGTTGCTTTCCATCTGGATCTTGTTTCCTTGATCTTTTAGCAGCTGGATGCTCTGGTATATTGACTCCCTCTGTGACAGCAGGTTGAAAAAACACATGCCTTCAAATGCCTGTCAGCCATGGCCATGGACAAGAAATTGTGGCTTGTCTATGGAAGCACCCAGCTGAAGGCACGCAGCTGAGGGAGAGCATCCAGATTCCTGCTGCAGCAGCAACAAACGGCAGCATTCTCTGACTTAACTCATGTAGTGTCTGGAGGCTTGGGTGGCCTAAAAGTAAACAGATATAGTAGAAGGTGGAATGTAAGTTCTGGTCCCAGTAAACTTTCTCTTCTGTAAGCCAAGGGTGTGAACACAGCTTATCAGAAGAATCATATATCAATGCTAAAATATAGTTTTTACAAACTTTAAGTCATACATCGTGGCCATGGTTTGAGAGGTAGTGAGGTTTTTGGGATGGTGTGTTCACACCAATGGGTGCTCAGATTTGAGTATTGGCACCTGGTGTGGTCACTGGGGACATGGATACGCCTCTGAGAACACAGGAGTTCAAAGCAGAGAACTCCCAGGGGAAGCTCTCTTGGATCTGGCAGGGAAAAAAGGTCAGACCTCCCCTGCCATCTGGGCGGGGCAGGGGAAGCCATGCAGCCAGGTGAGGAAGGTCTGGCCCCGAGGATGGAAGGGTGGAAGAGTGGAAGAACACCGAGAGGCATCGGGCAGCCACCCACCCCCAGGAGAGAGAGGGAGAGAGGGAGAGAGAGAGAGAGAGAGGGAGAGCCAGCCTGTGCCTGTGACTGTGCTGCCTTGAAACTTGATAATATATGCCTGCAGCATGGATGAGAAGGAGAAGGGGGAGGGGGGGGGCAGCAAGAAGGTGTCCGGCCGCTGTGGGAATTCTGGGAAGCAGAGCCCGAGATTTTAACCCTTATTTTGGACAATGAAAACTTTGCAGAACAGTAAACTTCCTAGAAGAGAGATAGAGATGAAACAGAGGAAGAAATGGGCAAGTGTGATGAAAGTTCCTGCAAGTGAAAGATGTCAAAAGAGTGGGGAAGAATCTTAGGTGAGAAGAGATGATGCAGTGGCCTTAGCTGGACTTTTCTTGCATAGCCCTGGACAGAACCATGTTTCTTGTGACACAGAGAGTGCATCCAGGGAGAGGCAATGGCTCAAAGCCAAGAGGGTTAAGTGATGAGATACCTTGGCCCCAGGGGGTGAAATCTGGGGGGGACAGGTGTCCCGAAAGTGAGAGACTGTGCTCTTTTTGGACCGGGACAAAGCATCCTTAAAAGGAAAACTCTAGAAGCAGCTCTGGTCCATGTGCAGTGGTGAGAGCACTGGACATGGAAGGAAGAGCTCACGATGGCAGATGTTCTCCAGGTGGTGCCACCAGTGACATGGAAACATGTGTGGGAATCCATAAAAATCGGAGAGTTTCAGGAAGGTTGTAAAAAGGACAGGCCGCAGAAACAGCAAGAATTGTGAAGTGCTAAAGCAGCAGAAAAAGATAGATAAGCTGTAGCGAAGACAACAGGGCTGTGTAATGGGCCTGATAAGTTGCAACAAGTTTATTTAGTATATATCTAGAAGGCTATGCTTATGAATACAGCTTTATTCGTTGTCTCTTACAAACCAGCCGTTGTGTTGGAGAATCGGCCACTATTGTTTTAACCAAAGCTACGTGTGTTTAAGATGATTGGATAGAACTACTGTCGGTATGCTTTTGCTCTATGTAATTGGCTGAGACGCATTTATGGTATGTTGTAACATTAAGTTTCTTTGGCCTGCTGCCTGGTCAGCGAGCTGTACGCATCTTTCCATTGTCATAACTATGTAATGAGACTGATGCTGAAAACATAAAAAGCTCTAGACACTGATCAAAGCAGCCCCATCCTGTTTGCGTCTGTATATAAACTGCCAGCGTACGAAACACGAGGTTTTGACGGTGTTTCCTGGGGAAACCTATGGCACAAGAAGGACTCCTCTCCTCTTGATGAACAGAGAATTGATTATCTAAAGGGTGGTGATGGACCGAGAGTTGGTGATCTGAGGGATGGATGTATTGGGAATTTGGTGGGGGGAGGAGGAAATGCTTTTGGAAGATTTTTATTTTCCTTGTGTTTTTTTTTTTACTTGTAGTGTCGTTAATAAAGTTTTCTTTTCTTTATTTCTAAGTGGGGCTCTGCTTTGCTTATTCCTGGTCACATCTCACAGCAGAAACTAGGGAGAGTGTATTTTCATGGGGGCACTGGCTTTGTGCCAATGTCAAACCATGACATATATATATAATAAAATAATAAATCAAGACTTCTGAAATATGGAGTCAGATCCTCGTCTCTTCCTGCATGCAAAGACCCCTTTGACCACCGTCACATGTGCCCTGGCTGGCTGCAGGCTAGGCACATGTCCTGCCCTCCTGCCCTGTGCCAAAGGCAGCAGGGATGGGCAGCTCTGGGCACCGCTCTGAGCACGGCCAGCACGGCCTGGGCACCACGGGCAGCTGGGACAAGGGCACAGGAGCCCTCAGCTGACGGGCGGTTTCTGCTTTCTCTCCTTGCAGCTGGGCTCTGCGGGTGCTGAGGCTGCTCTGGGCTCTGCCAGGGCTCTGCTGGAGCTCAGCACTGGGCCGGAATCAGCCAAAGAAGAAACGGTGTAACCTGCAGCACAGACTTGCTTGAGCATTTTGGCAGCACAGCTCAAGTCTGCAGAGTGTACACCTCCAAGGGAAAACATGACACCCGTCAAAAAATAAACTTGTTCAGTAACTTCTGAAATGAAATCAATCTGGCATGTCCCCAAATGACATTTTTCAGCTTGCTGAAGCTGTAGCTCAGCCCTTCTCTGAACAGTTCTCTCCCCCCACCTGCCTTTTACTTCCCAACTGCTCCCTCTTTTCCCCCAGTGAATTCCCAGCCCATTGCAGTCTCCATCACACTGTTGCCTTCCTTGGTGCCCCTCTCCACGAGGAAGGCTGAGCCCCAGGCTTAGAGACTCATCCTGTCACTGGCTGAGGAGCAGCAATGTCTCAGAGGTCCAGTGGGGTTTTAGTGTCATTCAGAGCCACTCTCCAGCCCTCAGCTCTCCTCGCTGCTGAGCTCCCACTCCCTTTTCCTCATCCTTGCAGCAGGATGAGCTCTGTGAATCCCCTTGAGCCTCCCCACTCTTCCCAGCCCATGCACCCCCCTCAGTTAGGGTGAAGCTGAAGCTTCTCTGTCTCCTGTGGCACACCAGTCCAGTGCCCTGTGCAGGGAGCCCCAGCCCCAGAGCACAGCACACAACACTGCAGTCCGGGCTGGAGCAGCTGCCCTGCAGCCCTGGCTTGGCTGTTTGTGGCAAGGCAATGCTCCCTGTTTCCAGCTGTCCCTGCAGGATGGCCCCAGGGCAGAGCCCAGTCGGGCTCCCACTGCAGCCCCTGGAGTTTGGGGCAGACAGTGCTCCCAGAGGTGAGGTTTCTGGGCAGCACCCGGAGCTGTGCCTTGCAGTCTGTGGCCGCGTGTCACAGCACAGGCTGGCTCGTACTGTGTGAATGTACCAGCCCTGGTTTGACTGCCAGGGGCCTCGCCCAGTCACATCTCTCCCAGGGCTGCAGCATTTCACTGGCCAGAATCTGACAAGGCATAGAGATCAGAGCAATGAAATTCTCCAGACTGGGTTTTTCAAAAGCCCTTTAGAAGGAAGGGCTTGAGAATAAACGCTCTCTGTTTGCCACATGAACAATGGGGTGAGTGCTCTCTCTGTCTCCAACCCACTCCCCCCCAGCCAACGTTACAGCCACCCACTCCCTCACACATCCCCCCCGTACCTTCCCTCTGCCGTGTCCTGTCAGGGCTTCCCAGCCCCTCGTCCCTTCCTGGCCCTGTCCCCTCAGGCTCTGCCCCAGCCCGGCCAAGCTGCCCGGCAGCAGCGCCACAGCCCCACAGAGGCTCCAGAGCAGCCCCATCCAGAGGCACCTGGGAGCCCTCAGCAATCCAGCCAGCAGCACACGGGCAGGAGGACACGGATGGCGCTTCCTGCCTGGCACAGGGCTTGTGGCCATCTCCAGGCACTGCTCTCACAGGGATCCCCGCAGCCCCGGCCCCTGCCCAGCCGCTCTGTCACCAGCACAAAGGCTTCAGCAGAACCACCACAGGCTAAGGGGCTTCTGGCCATTTTCCCTGCAACACTGCACGCCTGGGCAGCTTTCTGAGCACAAGCACCCTTTTCCCCCTCTTCCCCTATGCCCTGCAGACCCTGGGCAGCAAAAGAAAGCTCCTGGGAGTCTGTGTATTATAACACACTCTATATTCATATACTAAAGAAAAAACAAATAGAAGAAAACAAAAAGAAAAATCTTTAAGAAATGGAAAATTCCCGCTGGCTCAGGTGGCCTCAGCAGACAGAGGTATCAGCTCTCTGCAGAGCTCCAGCAGCGCAGCCAGCCGAGCCCGCACAGACGAGGCCGTGTCCTCCATGCCCAGCAGAGCTGATCTTGCACCCTCTGGAAGATGGAATAACGCTCACTCTGCAGTGCCTGGAGGACATACAATGTTTCAAGTGCCAGATCTGACACGGCACTGCTGATGTCCTCTGTCAGGTGTTCAAGGGCTGAAAGAGAATGGAACAGAGCCATTGTCAGATCCCAGATCTGCGCGGAGCCGAGGAGAGCCCCCTGCCAGGGCCATCCCAGCCGGCTCTAGCCATGGCCAGGAGGGAGCAGGGACCAACGGGAGCAGCCCGAAGCTGCTGGCCATGAATCGCCCAGGTGGCCCTGAGATCTCTGTGTGCTCTGCCCACGCCGCCCCTGGTCCGCACAGGGAGCAGAGCCCTCCGCAGCCGGGGCAGGGCTTGCAGCTCCCCCGGCAGCCCCAGCTTCCAGCCCGCTGCCCTCACTCACCGTTGCAGATGAGCCAGAGCTCTTCCTTCTTCCCCCTCAGGTGCTGCGTAGCCATCCCTGTGAACACAGAGCCTGTCACGGCGCCAGCGGCACAGCTCCCTGCCAGCGGCGCTGCCGGCGCTGTGACCACACGGGCTGCTGGCCGGGCAGGGCTCAGCCCGGCCCTTGCCGCACGCTGCCGCCCCAGGGCACGGCTGCCAGAGGGCAGAAGCAGCAATGCCCAGGCCAGGTGGGGCTCCACGGCGCCGGGCCTGGCTGGCGCTGCCGGGGCAGCAGGCGGGGCTGGGGCCGAGCTGCGGCGTGCCGGGGAGGGAGCCCGGGGTCGTTGCTCACCGATGAACCTGATGGCCGCCGCTCGCAGGGGCTCCTGTGGGCTCTGCAGGTAGGGCAGGGCCCGGTGCAGGTGCTCGGCCGCTCTGCTCCTGTCCTCTGCCAGCTGGAGAGAGCGGCAGGAGGGAAGGGTTGGCGCGGGCTCAGCTCCTAGGCCGGGCGCTGCCTGCATCCAGCCCCGGCCTCCCCTGCCCGCACAGCCCTGAGGCGCGGCCAGCAGCCGCCGGCGCCGGGCTCCCGAGGGGAGGGGCAGAGGGCCGGCTGCTGCCCGGGGAGCCGCGGTGCCGGCCCGCAGCCCCGCAGCCCCGCCGGGCCGGGGCTCCATCAGGAGCCTGGAAAAGAGTCCGCGGGGACTCTGGGTGCAGGGGCACAGCTGCCCGCCCCGCACACTGAGCACCTCGCTCAGGGAGCTTCTCCGGGCTGAGGCTGGGGCTTGCAGGCCGTCCTTA